GGGTTTAGGGTTTAGGGTTTAGGGCTTAGGGTTTAGGGTTGAGGGTTGAGGGTTTAGGGTTTAGGGTTTAGGGTGTAAAGTTTAGGGTTTTTGGGCCTTAGTTGGAGGTTAAAGTGGTGTAAGGCGTTAGGGTTTTTAGGGGGGGGGGGGGTGGTTCAAGTTTTAGCTATTGGTTCGCAGGGAGTTCTTCGGCATCAGGGCTCTCGGGCTTGTTGAGCGGTTGATTCTAAGGGTAGTTATATGGGCGGTTTAGGGTTTAGGGTTTAGGGTTTTGGGTTTAGGGTTTAGGGTTTAGGGTTTAGGGCCCTTGGTATGGTCCCTCACCTCCTTTAACTCGGGATATAAGGGAGTGGTCCCCTTGTTTTAAGGGCCCGGACCATGTAATGTAACTACCCCAAGATTTATGGGCTTTCAATCTTTGGGTTGTAGGTTTCTGGACCCCCAAAGTACCCCGTTAAGGTTGCCTAGATACCCTCTAAAGAATCCGGCATAAGTTGCCAGGGGACTCTCATTTTTCACTGGTCTTTGGGTCCCAAGCACCACCTGAAAGTAGGCCAGGGTTTAGGGTTAAGGGTTGCCCTCGTACAACCTAGGACCCAGAGCATATGCCCTTATTCCCTATGTTTACGGTTGAGGTTCCCTTGTAAGCCCCTTTGAACCAAAAAGGGCAACCCTTTTTATTCCTAGGCTACTCCTGAGTCGAGCAGCACTTGGAGGTTCATAGTACTTGTTAACCAATTATAACTGTACTTATAACCCCTTATAAGCCCGTTAAGTGCCCGAATATGGTTATAAGTACAGTTATAAGTACACTGACAATTGGTTCATAAGTACCATGGACCTCCAAGCAATCTCACGAATGACTCCGGTGCTTCTCCCTTTCAGGCTGGCTGCGTCGTCCTCGACCACCGGGCCCCTCCGACAGGCCGGCGCAGTCGCCGAGAGAGAGGGTTGGGGGGGTTTGGGAGTGTAAGCCCCTGAGCCCTGAACCCTGACCCCCGGACCCTGAACCCCTTAACCCTAAACCCTAAACCCCAAACCCTAAACCCTAAACCCGAAACCCAACCTGTCGGATTCAGGGGGCACACAGGGTTAGGATGCTCCGGGACTTCGGGGAGCTTGCGGGAGGGGGGAGGGAACCCGAGAGTGAGAGACTTCTGGGCTTCAGGCTGGTTTGGGGTTTAGGGTTTAGGGTTTAGGGTTTAGGGTTTAGGGTTTAGGGTTTAGGGTTTAGAGGGTTTAGGGTTTAGGGCTAGGATTTAGGAGGGACCCTTATAATTTATAAGTAGCGGCGACTTAGGTATGTAGAGACTATATAAAGGGATATGTAGGGGTTATGTGGGGCGTAAGATGGACATGAACCCTAAAATTGGGGTCACATACCCTGACTACTATAATTCATATTAAGGTATATGGACCATAACCCCTTATCGGGTTCATTTAGTTCCCAAGGCTGAAGAGGTCCCTCCTTACATCCCTTCATGTTAGTCAAGCTCAAGATGAACAAAAAAACCCAAAGGCATCGTCGCGAGAGCGAAGCTGACCAACAACAGGTTCGGGGTTTAGGGTTTAGGGTTTCGGGTTTAGGGTTTCGGGTTTAGGGTTCAGGGTTTAGGGTTTAGGAATGCCTGTACCAGCTGTCGAAAATCAGAAGTTCCAATGCCCGAAATAGGATGAAAGGGCCACCCTCCTAGAAAAATGCAACAACAACTCCAAATCCAAGCCCTATTGCCCGAGTACTCTTCCTGAACTCCCCCAAGTGCCTTCATGGAGGGGCCCAAGTGTACCGTTTAGGGTTTAGGGTTTAGGGTTTTTGGTTTAGGGGGTACTTAGGGACTTTCAGGGTGCTTGGAGGTCCAAGTCAAACCCGAACCCCAAACCCCAATCCCGACCCTTAAGCAAGCCCTAGTCCTTATATAACAGGTGTCGAGTGGAAGGATAAACCCTAAACGCTAGCCCCAAACCCTAACTAAATCCCCCTTGGAAAAGATTTTTTGTTTATATAAAACCCGAGAGGGTATTAAAAGCATTTGTTTTATTAAGGTTCTAAGGGGAGAATAGCTAAACCCGGAAAGCTTTCGTTGGCAGGCGGGTCCACTCCTGGCTGCGTGCCGCAGTGCCCAGCGCGAGAAAGAGAGACCCCAGCAGGTTCAACCTTCATAGTTGTTGAGGGCTTCGGGGCCAGAATAGGGTGTTGGGTTGAGGGTTGAGGGACCCTTAGCCCTAAACCCTAAGCCCTAAGCCCTGAACCCTAAACCCTAAGCCCCAAACCCTAAACCCTAAACCCTAAACCTCGGTGTAGTGCTCAACATGTAACCCTAAACCCTACACCCTACACCCTAAACCCGAAACCCTAAACCCTAAAGCCTAAACCTTACTTTTCGGCTGTTTAGGGTTTAGGACTGTATGAACATCAGGACCCTTATGCACCTTCACGAAGCCCAGGATGTTGCACTAAACCCTAAACCCTATCCTCTAAACCCTAAACCCCAAACCCCAAACCCTAAATCCCCAAGCCCCAAGCCCCAAACCCCAATCCTTGAAAGCCTCGAACGTTTTAATCGGCAGGCGCAAGGCCGAAATTCCCCCTAAGCCAGAGCTTTAAAACGCCACGTCCCTGCGTGCCTAACTCCTTCTGCCAAAACCCTAAACGCATGGGTTTAGGGTTTAGGGTTTAGGGTTTAGGGTTTAGGGCAACCGGAAACCTAACCCTGAACCCTAGGCAGTTCCGCCCCAGGCTGGGACGTGAGCTCGGAGGCACCGGCGCTGCTGGCGGGGGGGCGTGACCAGGCGATGCTTTGCAAGTTGTTTGGGTTTGAGGTTTAGGGTTTAGGTTTTAGAGTTTAGGGTTTAGGGTTTAGGGCTAAGTGTTTCGGGCTTTGGGTTGGAGATCTTGGCAGCTGAGTGGTACCCGTTGGTCCTTTTGAGGTTCTGGGCTCCCTTGTAGGTTTAGGTTTTGGGGGTTTAGGGTTTGGGGGGGTTTAGGGTTTAGGGTTTAGGGTTTAGGGTTTCGGGCTATCAGAAGCAGGGTCTAGGGTTGAGAGCTCTGGGTTGAGAATTTAGTGTTGAGAGGGACTGGGTTATGTTTTCTTGAGGCTTAATTGCTAATAATTTGAGGGCTAGGAGCTAAGGGTAAGTATTCTCGACAGTTGGGGCTGTGAGGGTCTTTGGATTAAGTACAAGATTGAATTGAGCGGGTTTCGGGTTTAAACCCTAAACACTAAATAGTATGAGCCCTCCCACTGCGCCCCTCCCCAACGTTCGATCACGCTCATTCTACAGTGGTCTGTACATTCCGACACTAGTTGCTTTTCAAGCTTCCATGAAAACAGCTGCTGCCCGAATACATCCCTCCAGACGTGGAATGTACTAGAGGGGCCTGAATAATTTGAATTGGGTTTGGGGCGTTAGTATAGTATAATTCTAAAGGGACCCTACAGGACTGCGATTAGTAATTATTCCGACCCCTATATGAGTAGGTCCCAAAATCAGCCCTCTCTTGTTGAATTGCCCGTCCCTGCGAATCGATGGCCCTCATTCCTCATCAAACCTCCGCTGCCAAGAGAGTCTTCAGCCTAGACATGCCAAGGCCCGAACCCCGATTGAACCCTAAACCCCTAAGCCCTAAACCCAAACCCTAAACCCTAAACCCTAAACCCTAAACATGCTGCCGCCCAGAGGGTCTAGATGCCAATATACCTTTGTGTAGAGAATAGCTGAGTTACTACGTAGTCCGTTTTCGCATCCAATCATCTACTGCAAGGGCGCGCGTCCCCTCTGAGTTCAACCGCCATACGTCCTAAACCTATAGAGCAAAAACTTCAGGCCCAAACCCTAAACCCTAAACCCTAAACCCTAAACCCTAAACCCTAAACCCTAAACCCTAAACCCATATCAACAAGGCAACAGGAACCTTAACGACCTCGGGGTGTTGTGACAGGTCGCATTTCGCTGGGATCCAGAGGCTCTTCCTTGGGTAGATTTCTACCCTAGGGTTTAGGGTTTAGGGTTTAGGGTTCGGCGTTTAGTGTTTAGGGTTTGGGGCTGGGGTTTTGGCGTTGGGCTTGTGGATCCTTGTCGGGTGCTCCTTCCATGAGACGCGGCCTTTGACGTAGGGTGCCCAACAGCGGGCCATCATCATTCAAAGAACTCCCCATATAGCATCTTATCCAGCAGCTCCACTTGTACTCGTACTAAAAAACTTCATAGGTGCCCCAAGCAGCCTATTTAGCATGTGTTAGGGATGTGTTGGGCCTTCCCCAGCTACTCAGGGTAGAACTAGAGGTCGTTTGCTCATATGTGTGTGTATGTTGATGCTTCCCTATGCAGGGTTTTGGGCTGCTCAAGATGCATTTAGCTCGCCGCATGCGCGTTTTAAAGTTTGGTTGCAGCAATGATCATTGCTGTTCTGACTAAGTGCGTTTGTGTGGGCAGGGGTAGTGTGCTTGTGCGGGCGCAGGAATTCGCTTTTCCCAAGATGGCCCATGCCCTATAAGCCAGCTTAGTCTTGACCTCTAAACCAGGAAACATTCCCCTGAACCCCAAATCTCGTACGCCTTGCACATGAGCTGTGAGGCTGCCAAGCAGCTGGACTCCTTTCCAGCCCGCGCCCGAGCTGGGCTTCTGCAAGGGGCGCCTAAGGTCCTGCACAGGGTTTAGGGTCTATAAACTATACAGGGTTTCGGGTATATAGGATCTATAAACTATACAGGATTTCGGGTATATAGGGTCTATGAACGAAACAGGGTCTGGGGTCTTGGGTCAAGGTTTGGCGCTGAGACTCAACTGCCCAGGTTGTTGAAGGCTGCTGCTGTTTGTTACATGAGCTGTTGGGTGGCCACTTAGTAATCCTGAGCCCAATAGCTTGACACTATCCTGCAACCCTACAACCCCCTAAACCCTAAACCCTAAACCCCAGAAACTCTAAACCCCCTAAACCCTAAACCCTAAACCCTCAACCCTCTAGCCTTGGCGAGAGCCGTAGAGCGCGCGATCTTGCCATGGGACGGTGGGATGTGGTGCTTCCCTTCCTGGCTCCTGGGCGTGGATCTGTGCCAGCAGGAAGGCGCCGCGACAGAGTGGACGAGTCGCCAAGATCCTGCTCACCAAGCACTTCATCTGGCCCCTGGGACCCTTTGATGTAGGAGCCTGAATAATTAGGGGGGGGGGGGGGGGGGGGGGAGTTGTTATAGTGTATTTATAAAGGGACCATATGGGAATATTACTAGTAAGTAGTCCGACCCCTATTTTGCCCTTATTAATTGCCCTTATTAAATGCCTGGTTCCCTTCTAAAGTAACCAGCAACAAGAGAAAGGGTAAGGTACCTTGATAATAAGATGGTTGCTGGTTTACTAAGGCTCTGGCTTTCCAAGCCCTTCGGACGATGAGTCGGAAAGACTTCCGAACGTGGAGGACATCTACGACTTGCTGACATCCGACCTTGCAGATTTGGAAGATCGGCTTGTTCAGAAATCCAGCAACTTAGTAGCTGAACGAGTACACTTCACACTTTCTGGGATACTAGAATCCCTATACTAGAACTGAAAGCACACGCCTTTTTGGGGGCCTATGAACTCAGCAGCTGAGGCAAAGGTGTCTTGACGCCGAAGGAGGAGAAGCTACACAACTTGGTGCGTGTGGAACTGGGCGAGCGTCGTAGCGTAGAGGAGATCCTAGGCCAATTAAAAACCCTTGAGATACTTACATTTTTCCCTCATTGGGTGTTAAAAGACCTAAACCCTAAGCCCTAAACCCTAAACCCTAAACCCCATTTTTGGAATATTTTTTTCAGAGGCTTTGTAGACGCCAATCCCAGGATTGGCCTGGCGTTGATTGGTGGACGCTTCGACCTCGCAAAGGTGCCAGGCTTGGCCCAAGCGTCGGTCCCACCTGTGCAGGCCGGCTTAGGGTTTAGGGTTTAAGGGGTTTAGGGTTTGGGGTTTGGGGTTTTGGGGTTTAGGGTTTGGGGTTTAGGGTTTAGGGTTAGGTTTAGGGTTTAGGGTTTAGGGTTTAGGGTTACCGGGTTGAGGGTTTGGGGTCTAGGGCTACCCATGCAGGCCGATGGTGCTGAAGTTTGGACTCTACCAGAGGCAACTTGAAAGCTGACTGGTACCCGGTTGGCCCCCCTTTTTTGTTGGGGGGGGGGGGGGGGGGGGGGGGGGGGGGGGGGGGGGGGGGGGGGGGGGGGGGGGGGGGGGGGGGGGATGGGAGGGGGGTTAGGGTGTAGGGTTTAGGGTTAAGTGTTTTCGGGTTAGGGGGGGGGGGGGGGGTTCTGGCCTCCCTTTTTATGACAGGGAGCCAACGAAAAAGACAGAGAGACCACAATTTTTGTTTCATCATTACTTGGGTTCATTGGGCGAAGCCCTAAACCCTAAACCCTAAACCCTAAACCCTAAACCCTAAACCCTAAACCCTAAACCCTAAACCCTAAACCCTAAACCCTAAACCCTAAACCCTAAACCCTAAACCCAAACCCCAAACCCCAAAGCCCAAACCCTAAACCCTAAACCCTTAACCAAATCAGGGGTTACCCCTCACAAGGCAAGATCTCCGGCATCTTCCCGGTCGAGCTTTTCAGCGAGGATGTCGGATGCACCCGACATTCTCCCTGACCTTCGTCCGCCGTCGTCCAGCGCGGCAAGGTTGCTGGGGTTTAGGGTTTAGGGTTTGGGGTTTAGGGTTTGGGGTTTAGGGTTTGGGGTTTGGGGTTTAGGGTTTAGGCCCTTGGGATATTGCACGTTTCCACCTTTGGGGTTTCAGAGGATCGCAATTTTAGGAATATTTGTGTCAGAGGGCTCAAACGGGGCCAACCCAGGCTAAGTTCTCCGCAGCTTGCACGTCCCCCGCAGCCTTCGCGGGCGTTCAAGCCACCAGGATGACCAATAGTGCCCTCATTCCCTTTTTTGGGGGGCGTCTAGGTTCCCTAAACCCTAAACCCTAGACCCTAAACCCTTTGTAATCCTAGGCTGCCGGGCAACTTAGGCCAACGCCGGTGCAGTTCGACTTCGTGATCGGCACAAGTTCCGTGAAAAAAGCACCGAAGCGCAAAGCCAAAGAGCCCAGTGAGCCAAAGGAAAGCAAAGACACTTCGAGAAAGGCCGCGCCAAAGAAGCGCGGAGCCTCGGGGAAAGCAGCGGCTGCCCGTGAGGCGGCTCCGAGCATACCCCGAACCAGGGCCCGGGGATCAAGCCGTCCTGTTCAAAGACGACACTGGGTCATTGTTGATAATCATTTTACATTGTTATGAGTATTCAAACCCAATAAGGAACCAAAATGATCATTTTGAAGTACCGTAGTGCCCCAAGAATGGTGCAGGACAGGGGGAGGCCCCAGCCGAAGGATATCCGCAATCTCCTGAAGTGGCGCCTGTGCGTGGTGAAGATCGCCATGAAGCAGCAGACTCGAATCGGGAAGAGCCGGATACGCCTGCAGCGCCCATTGCTCCTCCTACCGCTGGCTCTTCAGAAGCAGCAATGGTCCAGCAAGCAGACCAGAATCACTGGGAAGCTCCTGGCCAGGAAGGAGAGGAGCAACGCCCGACGGCGGAGCCCCAACGCCCCGAGAGCGCCAAGCAAGTCGGGGAAGATTCAGGAGGTGAAGTTGGCGACATGCAGCAGGAGTGTTACGGGGTGGTGGTCTCTTTAACCAGGGTTTCTGTTCTTTAGGGCGTATGTTCGGGGCTCTTATTAGGATATCTAGGGGCTCTATTAACGTATCAGGGCAGTGGATTAAGAGGCCACCGGCCTTTTTCAAGCAGGAGGCTGAGGAGCAGCATGTCCTCCCTCCGAAAGCGCCGGAAGATGAGGACCATGAGCACCATCAGCACCATGATGACCATGATGACCCTGAATACTTGATGGATGAAGCAAGGGGTTCAACAGCAAGATCCTGTGAGTCTCCGCGGAGCCACGAAGAGTTCACGCACCTGGATCATGCAGAACGTGCAGCACACGTAATCTCCCAGAATGTGAGCGGGCCGGAGCACATCGAAGCAGAAGAGGGCAAGGTGGCTGAGGGAGAAGACTCCCCGATGGGCAGCAACCGCAGCAACGGCAACAGCTGTGTCTCGGAAGCATCCGGAGAAGTTGTTCTCGGGGTGGATGCCGATGTTGCGGTGGAGGCGCGATCTGAGTCGCGCCTGCCCGATGCGAGCTACGCTTGCGGCAGTGCTGAGAACATTCCGCCGACCAGCCCACAGTGCTCCTCACCCGTTGGCTCGAGACCAGATTCTGCATCTTCCCCCTCCACCGTCTCTTGGCAGCCCAGTGGTACCCTTTTGCCTCTTTGTCTTGGGTTCTAGGTTCCCTTATACAGTCGCCAAACTCCGAAAAGGGCGCTAAACCCTAAACCCTAAACCCTAAACCCTAAACCCCATACCCTGAACCCTGAACCCTGAACCCGAAGCCCTAAACCCTAAACCCTAAACCCTACCCCTTATTCTAAGATGGTTGCTGGGCTTCCAAGGTCTTTAAGGACACAGAGAAGACGCGGACATTGGTGGAGAGTGAACCTCGGGGCCGAAATGAGCCCTAAAAGGGTTTATGGTTCATAGACCTGAAGCGGAACTATAGTACTCAGGGTAGATGACTCCCTAAACCCTAAACCCTAAACCCTAAACCCTAAACCCTAAACCCTAAACCCTAAACCCTAAACCCTAAACCCTAAACCCTAAACCCTAAACCCTCCGATTTTCGGGTTCACTTTCGTCGCCAAGGAAGGATGCAGCCCGCAGGTTCAGGGTCCCTCGCCTCGCGATGGCAGGGATGAAGCAAAGGAGACCAGCGCAAAGGTCAAGATCCCGAAGCCTCGCAACTTGGGTTTAGGGTTTAGGGTTTAGGGTTTAGGGTTTAGGGTTTAGGGTTTAGGGTTTAGGGTTTAGGGTTTAGGGTTTAGGGTTTAGGGTTTAGGGTTTTTTTAGGGTTTAGGGTTTAGGGTAGGCCCTTGAGATATTATGTTGTTTTCCCCTGATTGGGGTTTTCTGGGGCTCAGATTTCGGAGTAACTTCTCAGAGGGTTTTTAGGGGCCATCCAAGGCAAGCCGCCCCTTCCGCATGATGCACTAAAAGCCTTTCCGGCCAAGAGTGCAGCAAGCAGGGGGTATGAGCTGGAGTATGTTGGGCTGGACCCAAAGTTGGTCGAGGGAGGTGAAGTCAGGAAGTACCACGAAGTGTTTCAAAACTTCACCGACATCTTCAGCTGGGGACGATCTTCGGAGGTCGTTCCCCAAAAGGAGCGCTATCTTCGCGAGTCCCTGCAGCTGTTTGCCCAGTTCTGCAATATCATTGGATCCTTGGAGGTTCAGTTTACCACCAAGCTTGGACCAGCAGATCACTCCACCCCGAACGCGACGCACCAGGCGTTGAATGCGATGGGCCTAAACCCTAAACCCTCAACCCTAAACCCTAAACCCTAAACCCTAAGCCCTAAACCCTAAACCCTAAACCCACAACCCCAGGCGTTGAATGCCATGGCCTCCCGTGGCGCCGGGCTCTATGGCGTGTTCCTGAAGGGCATCATCGACAAGATGGATGCCGAAGCGAGTGCTGTGCCACGACCCCTACCAGTGGAGACCGACATCTACTCACTGCGCTACTACAAGGTGGTTCAGACTCTTAGAGTGGCTGAGTGAGTACACTTTGCACTTTTTGGGGATACCAGAATCTCTACAAATCTTAACTAAAAGCGTGCACTTTTTTGTTGGGGGGGGGGGGGGGGGGGGCTTCTTGAACTCAGCAACTAAGGTTGATGTGGTAACGGGGCGTCCGCTTAAACAAGCAAAAGAACCTCAGCAACTAAGGAACCGCACAGAGGTTTACGACATTGTGACCCGAGTCTTTCACCGGAAGGATGGTTGGGAGGAGCTCCCCCATGGACTGGGCCTTTCCAATGCCTGGAACTTGTGTTGGACACTTCCTAAGGTTTAGGGTTTAGGGTTTAGGGTTTAGGGTTTAGGGTTTAGGGTTTAGGGTTTAGGGTTTAGGGTTTAGGGTGAGTGAGCACACTTTACACATTTTGGGATAGAACAATCTCTATAGAACTGAAAGTGTACACGTTTTGGGGGCTTATGAAATCAGCAACTAAGGACATGGAGCAAGCCCAAATTGGACTATTCTCGTTTGTGCGTCTGGCAGAAAGTCAATCATTTTCCGGAGAACAAGCACCTGACTCGCAAAGACTTTCTGAAGAGATGCATTGACAGGTACACGAGAACAGGTAGCAAGCTGGCGCAGTACTTCAACATCTGCCCCAAAACGTTTGTGCTTCCGAAAGAGTATTGCTTGTTCATCGAGTGTTTCACGAAAATTGCTGAAGAAAACGGCGATCTGGAGGGAAGCAGCCCTCCATCCGGACGAAAGCCGGCACCAAACATGTGGATCATGAAGCCTGCCGGCAGCAGCCGCGGACGGGGAATTCAGGTCATTAATGACGTCAGTGCTGTCCACTATGGCGAGCTCACGATCATTCAGCAACTAGGACCCCCGAGCTAGACCTTTATTCCCTTTTGTTTAGGGCTTAGGTTCCCTCAGTAAGGCCCCTTCTAAACGCCCTAAAAACGGGCACCCTTTTCATTCTTGGACCCTAAACCCTAAACCCTAAACCCTAAACCCTAAACCCTAAACCCTAAATCCCCTCTTGGGGCCTAGGCAATACATCAGCGATCCATTCTTGCTGGGCGATTTCAAGTGGGACATGCGCACCTATGTGACTTAGTTGCTGAGTGAGTACACTTTACACTTCTTGGGTTTAGGGTTTAGGGGGTTTTGGGGGTTTTGGGGGGTTTAGGGGGTTTAGGGGGTTTAGGGGGTTTAGGGGGTTTTGGAGGGGGTTTAGGAGGGGGTTTTGGAGGGGGTTTTGGAGGGGGTTTTGGAGGTGGTTTAGGGGGTTTAGGGGGTTTAGGGGGTTTAGGGGGTTTAGGATTTCCTATAGAACTCAAAGTGCACATCTTGTGGCTCATGAACTCAGCAACTAAGGTGACGGTGACCTCCTTCAACCCACTTGAGGCGTTTGTGTACAAGGTTGCTGGGATGACTTAGGGTGTAGGGTGTATGTTTTTCTGGGGGGTTAGGTTCCCTTAGGGGGTGAGGGTATAGGGTGATTTCCCTGTTTGTTTTTTTAACCCTAAACCCTAAACCCTAAACCCTAAACCCTAAACCCTAAACCCTAAACCTTAAACCCTACTTGACAACCGAAGGATGGCTTTGCTCGGTTCACGACAGTACCCTATAACACCAGTGGCGATGACATTGACAACAAGTTCGTACATCTGACGAACTCGTCGATACAGAGGCATAACGAAGAGGTTTTCCAGAGCGATGAGAGCTGCAGAGATTTGATGCGACGGGAAGAAGCAGTTCTTGGAGGAACCAAGATTTCGTTTCCGATGCTGCGCGAGAAGCTGGAAGCAATGGGAATTGACTGGGCGACTGTGTGGGCGAGGATGATCGAGGTGATTCTCAAGTCGTTGTGCATGGCCGAGGATTCCTAGTAGTAGAGTAGGTAACCTTTAACTTTTTTGGGGTAGTATGACCCCTTTAAAATCCCAGAGGTTAACCTTCAATTCCGCCAGGTTACTGGACAACTAAGGATTTCATCCCGAACCAGGTCAATTCCTTTGAGCTGTTCGGCTATGATTCTCGGTGGCTCTTTGGGTTCTGGGTTCCCTGATAGCAGTACCCAACCACAGCGAGGGTACCCTTATCATTGACTTATCATAGCGTGGTTCAACCCTACAAACCCGAAACCCTAAACCCCAAAATTCTGCCCCTAAACCCGACTTCCTAACCCCCTGAACCCTAAACCCTAAACCCTAAACCCTAAACCCTAAACCCTAAACCCTAAACCCTAAACCCAGGATTTGCTTATGGACTCAAAGATGAAGGTGTGGCTCATTGAGGTCAACTCGTCACCTTCGATGGGGCAGGACTTGGTAGCCCAGTGGTACCCTTTACCCTCATTTTTGGTTAGGGGTTTGGGGTTTAGGGTTTAGGGTTTAGGGTTTAGGGTTTAGGGTTAGGGTTTAGGGTTTAGGGTTTAGGGTTTAGGGTTTAGGGTTTAAGGTTCCCTGACAAAAAATCAACCCCAAAAAAGGGTGCCCTGATTATAATATGGTTCCTGGGCTACCAAGAGGAGCACTTGCTTGATGAGCACGTCAAGCAGCCGCTGTCTCTTGGTAGCTGAGGGCTCTGGGTTTCCTTGTCAAGGCAACCAACCCCAAGAAAGGTTTTAGGGTTTCGGGGGAGTTTAGGGTTTAGGGCGTAGGGTTTTGGCTACTTGCTGGTCTACCAAGGATTAGTGATACCATTGACTTGGTTGAACCGCTGGAGTTCGACAGGAGAAGGTTGGCAGAGGTGTTGCATCGCCGTGTCGAGAAGAAGGCTGCGGCGGGGGCAGCAGGTGGCCGGCAACAGCTGGAAAACCCCAACCCCTAAACCCTAAACGCTAAACCATAAACCTTAAACCGTAAACCCTAAATCCTACATCCTAACCCTAAACCTTAAACCCTGAAGCCTCTCGCAGGTGGCCGGCAACAGTTGGATATTGACCTTCATGCGGTGTTGAAAGGACAGCTTCCGAGGAAGTATGGTGAACTGCCGCGGCACATGGGCAACTACGAGCGAATTGCCCCAGGCGAAGCTTGGGACAACATGGTCCGAACAAGGAGTCTCCTGTTCAACAGAGTTGGGGCTTCAACCTGATCAAACCGACAGGTCCGATACGTCTCACCAATGTGCGACAAGCGTCACTAACCCTAAACCCAAGTCCGAAAGCCCTCAGCCCTCAACCCTGAACGTGATAATCCGTAAACCCTGAACCCTAAACCCTAAACCCTGAACCCCTGTTGCTTCAAACTGTGGCTCGTCGGCACCATCGTTCGAAGCAAATGCGGCGCGTTGCCTACCCCTGCCTGGAGGTTCAGGCTACTTATAACCCATTTATAAGTGTAGGTACAACCCATACTTATAGGCCCCTTAAGTACTAACTGGGTTACTAAGTAGCATGAACCTCCAAGTGGAACCTCCAAGAAGGACCTTGTAAAGAAGTTGCGGTTTATGGTTTCGGATTTAAGTTTTAAGATTTAGGGTTCAGGATATAGGGTTCAGGATTCAGGGTTTAGGGTTTAGGATTCAGGGTTTAGGGTTTAGGGCCCAGGATTTAGGGTTTAGGGTTTAGGTGGGGCTCCTCCTACGCCAACCGCCGGGCATCTATCGACCGAAGACTTTTGGCCAGGCGGTATAGCAGACCACCTTAGGGAGGTTGACGCTAGAAGTTCTTTAGCCCCAGAACCCTAAACCCTAAACGTTAAACCCTAAACCCGAAACCCTAAACCCTAGCCCTAAACCCTAAACCCTAAACCCTAACACCTAAAGCGCTAAAGCCAGGGTTAGGTCGCAGAGTCTCTGCCTCAATGTTCCGAGGTGACCGAGCCCATACGAAAGGAGCCGGCAGTTGCGAAGGCGGGCAGTGACAGGGTGTAGGGTTTAGGGTTTAGGGTTAGGGTTTAGGGTTTAGGGTTTAGGGTTTAGGGTTTAGGGTTTAGGGTTTAGGGTTCATGGTTTAGGGTTTAGGGTGTATGGGGTATGGTGTTCACGGTTTTGCGCCCGAAGCCCTTTGGCGGTTCCTGAGGCCTAAATCTTGACCGAGCCCGGCATCGAAGATGAAGATTACTTTTACGGCCAGCTGCTACAACCCGAAACCCTAGCTAGGGGGTTTAGGGTTTAGGGCGAGTTGCTATTTCGACACAATTGGTTGCGGCTTTATAGGGATTTGGGCTGACGGTTTAGAACCCCAGACCATGCTATGGCTCGTATACGATTCGGGGGAGGGCCAAGCAGCCTTTTGCTTTTGTTCGCTAAAGGTTTTTGGGCTGGTTCTAAAAGTTTGGTGTTTAGGGTCTAAAGATTGGCATGTTCCTCCTTATACAAATCTAAAACCTCTGACCGCAAGAACCCCAAAACCAACAACAAACACACCCCGAATTTGTGAAATGCCCCTTAAAGTATCGAGCTTTAATTTCCCAACCCCTCAAAGCCCTAAGCCCGAAACCCCAAACCCCTCAAAGCCCTGAAGCCCTAAACCCTAAACCCTGAACCCTGAACCCTAAACCCTAACCTTTATAAGACAAAAAACAAAAAAACGCGCCAGGCACCCGCGCAGCGCACAGCGACCGGCGGCGCCAAGACAAAGGCCCCTTTAGGGAAAATCAGGGCTCAAGGACGTACATACAGGTTTTAGGGTTTGGGGTTTGGTGTTGAGGTTTAGGGTTTGGGGTTTTGGGTTTTGGGGTTTGGTGTTGAGGTTTAGGGTTTGGGGGTTGGGGCTTAGGGTTCAGGGTTTAAAGCTCAGGGTGTTTATGTCAGGTTTCTGTTTGGCTTTTCGGCTCTATACAGGATGTCGTGGGTGCAAACTAACCCTATGCATTTCCAGGAAAACCCTAGACCCTAAACCCTAATTCAGAAGTCCTTTAGCGTTCTAGAAGCCGAATTTCTAGGTCCCTACAAGTAGGGGCCCCTTACTATACTAACTTTACTTAAGGGAGTTATCACCTAAATAGGAAGACTTATAACCCAAATTTAGGGCCTTTATAACCCTACTTATAACTAGGGGGGGGGCCTACTTGTAGAAGGACAGGGTAAAGTTGTAGGTGGCTTTTTCCTCCAAGCGTTTGCGTGTACAAGGCTTAGTGCGCGGGGCGGAGATGCTGGCTTCAGGATTCGGGTTTAGGGTTTGGGGGTTTTAGGGTTTAGGGTTTAGGGTTTAGGAGGGTTTAGGGTTTAGGCATGAGCTTAGCATTTTCGGGCTGTTGTCGGTGATGGCGAAGTGCAGGCAAGTTACATCCTCGAGACCGGAGCCAGCCAGAAGGGCAGCCTAAGGGTTTAGGGTTTAGGGTTTAGGGTTTAGGGTTTAGGGTTTAGGGTTTAGGGTTTAGGGTTTAGGGTTTAGGGTTTAGGGTTTGAAGCCCCCCGGCCCCTAAATACAGCATGTAATCTTCCCTGAATTAAACAACTTAATCTCAAACGACCAAGCAAAAGGGACAAAAGTTCGGTGTTTTCCGGGAGGAGGAGAGGGAATGGGCGGAGGTTGAAGAGGAGGAGGCGGGTTTAGGGTTTGGGGTTTAGGGTTGGGGTTTGGGGTCTAGGGGAAAAGTGAAGGCATGGAGGGGGGAAGAAGGGCGAGGGAAAGCAAGCGGGGGGGGGGGAAGAGTGGAGGATTTGCTAGGGTTTAGGGTTCAGGGTTCAGGGGTTTAGGGTTTAGGGGTTTAGGGGTTTCGGGTTTAGGGTTCCAGATCTCGATTTTTTCAATCCTTGATCTCTAAACCCTACTGCACTGGAGGTCAAGGGTACTTATCACCTGCTCCTTGAAACCCGGTGATAGCCCAGGTTAGGCGTCATACCAGTTTTTTAGTAGTTCGTGGTAGGGAATTCTGGAACCCCATATCGCCCATATAAGCAGACCCTTCAAGAGCGCAGGTAGGGTACCTAATTCCCCAGTTCCCTACAGAACCAGGAGGATAATCTTTAGGGCCCTGAGCCGTCAAATCCTGAAGGGGTTTAGGGTTGAGGGTTTAGGGTTTAGGGGTTGGCTTAAAGTTCCCCCACCCCGAACCGAAACATAATATCGCCTAACGGAGGGCGGTCCTGCGGTGAGCACCATGAAGGAGCGCCTGCATTCGATTCCACCGCTTGGGGAGGGTGGAATGGCAGCCCGGTCACCCTGAACCCTAAAGCATAGACCCCAGACCCTATAACCCTAAACCCCAGACCCTAGTCCCTAAACCCTAAATGCTGAACCCTAAACCCTAAACCCTAAACGCTGAACGCTGAACCCTAAATCCTAAACCCTAAACCCTAAACCCTAAACCCTAAACCCTAAACCCTAAACCCTAAACCCTAAGCCTATCTCTCTCTCGCTCTGTGTCTCCGTTGAGTGGTTAAAGGGACGAGCCACGGGATGAGAGTTCGAACGGGAACCTAAGGGGTGTAGGGTTTTGGGTTTTGGGTTTTGGCGTTTGGGTTAAACTCCAAGGGGTACATTCGCGGGCTTCCTATCCTAAGGGTTCTGGCATTTAGGGTTTACAGGGTTTAGCGGGCTACCCCACATTTGGACTTAACCAAAGATTGGGCCAGCCCTAGTCCCACCTCAACCGCGAGCTACATGGAATGTTACGCTTTGCTCAATCTGGTAGAGTGCCAGGGCCTTCTAGAGACCTAAACCCTAAAACTCTAAAACTCTAAAACCCTAAAACCCTAAAACCCTAAAACCCTAAAACCCTAAAACCCTAAACCCTCAACCTGGCGACAGGGCTATGACTTGAAGACCTCAGCCCTAATCTCCGGACCATGAAGCCCTTCTTAAATTCGGCTTCCATGCCTGCCGAGGCGCAGAGTTTAGGGCTTCAACCCTAAACCCTAAGCCCTAAGCCCTAAACCCTAAACCCTAAACATTGCAGGGGTTTAGGTCTCCAGGTTTCAAATTGGTCTTTTGGGAGGGCACTATGTGGCCGGCACCGCCCACTCTCAAGCCCCCGTGTTTTCAGAGATGGAGAGTCCCAGGAGCATGGCGAGTCTATGTTTAGGGTTTAGGGTTTAGGGTTTAGGGTTTAGGGTTTAGGGTTTAGGGTTTAGGGTTTAGGGTATGAGGCAGATCTGAAGCTGAGGTGCCTTCCCAGCTGCTAGAATCTTTTTCTTGCCGCTAGGCCCTCTAAACCTTCCGAACTACGCCTTCCTAGGGATAAACAACTTGGGGATCTGCCAGAGTGACCTACATCCTCACCCTAAACCCTAAACCCTAAACCCTAAACCCTAAACCCTAAACCCTAAACCCTAAAGCTCCCAAATATGCTAAATTCCATAGCATTCCGACGACGGGGTCGCCGCGCCATGGCGGAGGAGCGAGCGGAAGTCCAGGTTCCGAAGCTTGGGGCTACTTCGGGTTTAGGGTTTCGGGTTTAGGGTTTAGGGTTAGGGTTTAGGGTTTAGGGTTTAGGGTTTCGGGTTTCGGGTTTAGGGTTTGGGGATTGGGGTTTGGGGGCTTTTGGGCTTTTGGGCTTTTGGAGCTTGTGGGTTAAGGGGTTTAGGGCTTATGGGTTTTCGGGCTTCACGGTCTTCAGGGCTTCAGCGGTTTCGCACCCCTGCAACCGTAAACCCTCCTAAGCCTCTGAAACTGAAACGCTGACTCTACGAAACTCTAGAATTCCAAATCCAAAGCCTTTTGAAACCTTGGCAAACTTTCCAACCTTAAGACCCTGAAAACATACTGGGCCCTAAAACCCTGCTTAGGCTTGGAAGCCCCAAAAGCTCTGAATCCCTCTTTAGACACTAAGCCGTCCCTGAAACCCCTAAACCGATCAACCCTGCTAATCCCTAAGCCCCAAACCCAACCATTCCCTAGTAGACTTGCACCCTAAACCCTAAACCCTAAACCGAAACCCTAAACCCGAAACCCTAAACCCTAAACCCGAAACCCTAAACCTAAAAAGAACCTATAGTCTACAGTTCCTGAGTAGCCCTAAACCCTAAACCCTGTTAGAGGCAGCTAGCCCAGCTGAAGTCGACGCAGAGGCGGAGCTGGAGAGTTTGAGGTTCAGGGTTTAGGGTTTAGGCTTTAGGGTTTAGGGTTTAGGGTTGAGGTTTTTGCGTTTTTTTTGTGCTTGGGGAACTTCTCCGGCTTAATTAAGGTGCTTCGGGCTGAAGGTCGA